GTGTTTTTGGGTAGGTGCTTCTATATTATTGTACTGATGTTTTGAGATGGAGTCTCACTAAGTAGCCCAGGCTGCCTGTGAATTAACCTGGTGTTGCTCCTGAGTGCTGTGATTACAAGCATGAGCTACCACATCTGGTAAAATAACTTTGGTTATTTTTATTTTTTTATTTTTGTGATACTGGTAGTTGAACTCAGGGCCTTGTACATTCTAGACAAGTGCCATACCACTGAGCTACACCCCTACCCCCTACAGTTATACCTGTGTCTTATTCCTTGTTCAGATTCTATTTCTCAGGAACACAGATGATTACAGCACTCAGATACCCTGTAAGTATTCACTGGCTTTATTCCACAGTACGTGCACAGCCATCTAGGAGAGCACTACCATTTGCCCAGATGTGACCGTTGCAAACGGTTGACAACTATTTTGCATATGCTCTTTCCATGCTTCCCACAGACATTTAAAAATAGTTGTGCTGTGCTGACAATGTCAGAGCACAGAAACCTACGCGCTCGCCCCTCTCCACCCTTCCTTTATTCTTAGTTCTACAAATAACTATGCGCTTGATGTTTGCAGCTAACTGCTTCTTACGTCTAGTCATTTTGATTGGCTAGTAAATTACCCAGGATTCACTCATGGGAACAATATTCTCTGCATTTGTCTGTGCTTCTAACAAGTCTTGCATGACTGTTAGGTTTGGGAGTTGGTTTTTCTCGATATAAAAATTACTAGTTCATGGTTTTCCTTGAGCATGTTAAAATGTCATTCCATTTTCTTCTGGAACAAACCATTACTAAAGAGTCTGATAATAATTTACTTTTTTGTTCTTTTCCAAGTTACTGGCCCCTTTTGTTGAGAAATTCAAAGACTGAAAAAACTCTGAAAAGAATATTTTAAAAATCATAATATAATTTCACTATACAATTCCCTGGTGTTGATTTTTTTTTTAAATCGATTTCTCAGGCACATGGTGTATTCTTCCAGCATGCAGTTTCAGATAATCTTTTTATTTCAGGAATATTTATTTAAAAATTATTGTTTTTAAGGAATAGGAGTAGTTTTGTAGGACAGTATTTGTGTAGCCTATATGAAGCTCTGATTTCAATTCCCAGTACTGCAAAAATGAAAAAAAGTCACTCTTGTTATTTTCTCTGCCCTTTAGCTTTGAATGTGTCCTCCAGGACTTTTCGTACCTGTGTTTTCAATCTTCTTTGTTTATCTTTGATTTTCTCAATGTCTCTGGAATCATTTTTACCTCTTTAATTTCCTTTTGCTTTAAAAAAGTTTCTTTTCAGTTTCAATTTTTCTTGGTATATTCTCTCTCTTATAGGTTTTCTAACTTATTCTCAAAAAAAAAATCACACAATAAATTGCAAGAGTCAGTTTCTTGATTCTTTTTAAAAAGTTTAAAATTTTTACTTCATTTTATGTATATGAATATTTTGCCTACATGTATGTAAGTGTAGTGCCCATGGAGGCCAGAGGGAGTCAGGTTCCCTGGAACTGGAGTTACAGACAGTTGTCAGCCACCATGTGGGTGCTGGGAACTGAACTCTGGTCCTCTGGAAGAGCAACAAGTGCTCTTAAGTGCTGAGCCACATTTTCAGTCCCTTGATTTTTAAAAATGTATTTTATTTTTTATTTTTATGTATAGAAATATTTTGTGCACATGTATGTAAGTGCACCCATGCATACAATGCCCACAGATTCCAGAAGAGGGCATCAGATCCCCTGGAACTAGAGTTACGGATGGTGATTAGACACCATGTGCGTGTGGGGAATTGAACTCAGGTCCTCTGCAAGAACAACCAGTGCTCTTAACTGCTAAGCCTCCTCTCTAGCCCTGAAAGTTTAATTTTAAAAGTTACTATCTGAGTTTTGTAACTCTCTAAATGAATTTCAGCTTGGGATTTGGACAATTTCGGAAATGGTGTTGAACATACTTCTGATGTTTTTACCATATTTATGTGCAGTGGCATTCTCTGCACTAATGATTACAAAATCAAAACATTGAGTAACTCTGAAAAATTTTGAAGAGGCTCTACAGCCTGTAGTATCAAACATTCAGTCAAGATGCAATCCTTTATGTAATAATAAGCAAGTGTATCATTAATATCTTCAGAATGCTAATTTACTTTCATCTTTAATAAATGGAAAAATTATTTTTATATCAAAGAATTGCTTTAAAATAAATTTTTGGATTTATTATCAATTTGTATACTTATTTTATATACCTATGAACCTGTAGTTTTGTAAAATGTTCTCAAATAAAAAAGGTTCACATGTGGAAAAGGCTTAAGAAGTCCTACTCGAGTCTAACTCCTTGGTTTACAAATTTTTACTTTGATTCTTCTTAAGAATCTCTGGTGAACATCTTAGTTTTAAATAAGAACAGACACAATGCATTTAACTTCAGTTCTATTGTACTTTCTACTAATGGTCTGTACAAGAGAATAGCTCTCATAAAGTCCACTCCATTTTGAAAAGTCTAGAGTATGTATGGTTGAATAACTCTGAAGAAGAAACTGTTCTCTGAATAATGACAATGTTGCAGCTGTATTAGGAAGTTTGAAATTGTCCTTAAAGATACAGTGTCATTTGAAAGTTGAATATGGTGCTAGAAAAATGACATGCCATTAGGAATCCATTAAGGATGGTTATTCTTTCTGTTTTTTTGCTTAAGGCCAAATGACTACATCATGGAATTGCAGCGCCTGACCCAACAGAGCATCAGTGTTCCCCCATGCCTGACATCTTGCTAACTTGTCACTGGAAAGTGATGTTCTAAGGAAGGTCAGAGCCATAGCATGGGGACCAAAAGCAGCCAGCTGTGTAGCACAGCATTCTGCCAGAAGGCATTACAAGTGCTTTAAATTCTTTAAGGTTATGAAATTCATAAATGTGCATAAATGTTTTTTTTTCACAAGAAGTTTAAACACATTGAGGCATGCTGGACTTTTAGACTACTGTACAGCTCTCAGGCCATGTGGCCACTATGCTATGTAGACTGAGATAAGCTACAAGAAATCTGAAATATTACATTGTTTGTTTTAAAAAATAAGGATCATCAAGTCCACATTGCACCAAATTGAGGCTTGAACTGCTTCCCTGTGGTTAGGGGAAGTGTGCATTATTGGTAAGCATGTAAGAAGGGGGTGTTGGTTGTGGAAATCTCTTTAAAGTAATGTATGATGGTTTCTGTTGGAATTCCACAGGCTAGTTTTCCTCATTAGTTTTCCTGCTCTGCCTGTAGAGTCCAGTTATGGTTCTTGGATGTGTTCTTCAAGACCCCATGGAGGGCAAGGGACTCTATCCTGATTTTAGGGACAAACGGGAACAGTGTTGGCACTTCTGCGTCACCTGACAGTCTCATGCTTCAGATATCAGTCTACTCTTGCATCATTATTCCCTTAAAAGCACTGCTTGTTTTATACATAGAAGCTTTACATTATACCACCACCACCACTACCTGCATTGTCACCCTGTTGTCACTAATGCTACACCTCCACCATCATTACTGCCACCATCTCTGATGTCACCAGCACTTCCACCAATAACACCATCATTGCCATCACCCCACCATGGCATTATCATCATCCCCACCCCCACCAACCACCCTTGCTACTATCATACACATACCATACTTACCACCATCACAGCCATTACCACCATCATCATCACCACTGCCACATCATGCCATACCTTTACCATCAACATTACCTCCACCACCATCATTACTAACATCACCAGTACTACCACCAATACCATCATCTCAGCCACCACTCCCTGACAGCATCACCACCACCACCACCATCACTGCCGTGCTATACCAAACCTTCGCCATCAACATTACTACCACCATGACTGATGTCGCTAACACACACCATATTACCACCAACACTACCATCAACATCACTACCACCATCACCACCAGTACCACACTATACCGTCACCATTTTTGCTGCCACCACCACCAACACTAACTCATCACTGACATCAACACTACCACCACTGCTATCACCATTACTACACTCCATCAATAACATTAGTTAATACTTTGACTATTGTGATGTCATCCAAAGTCACCTATATGATCACATCTATGAATCAGAGAGAGCGGATTGAAAGTAAGGCTAGGTAAACCCTCAGGGCCTGCCCTAGTGATGTATTTTCTCCAGGAATGCTCCATCTCCTAAAGGTCCCATAATATCCTCAAACAGTGTCACTAACTGGAGACCAAGTGTTCAAATACCTGAGCCAATGGGGGATATTTCTCATTCAAACTAGATCTTGAGAGTTTATAGCCTTGCACCACTTCCTATTCTCTCTCTGTTTCCTGTTCCTGCTGCCATGCCATACCTTCCTGGCCATTATAGACTCTCCCTCTGGACCAGTGAGCCAAAATAAACTCTTCTATAGGTTGATTTTGGTCATGGTATTTTATCACTAATACAAATGTCAACCAAATTAACCTATGTCTCTAGCTTTTCATCCTCTTCCATCTTTCCTATATTTTGTTCTTATCCTGTATCAAAACAATATTCTCCAGGACCAGTTTCAAACACATCATGCCTTATTTCCTGTGCTTGAGTCTTGCCTTGATGACCTTCTCTAAATTGTATTATTTTTATGATTCCAGTTTTACCAGTGATGTCTACCCTGAACATAGACCCTACAATCAACTTAGCAGTTGAAGCCTTCTCTATCACCTTCCTGAAAATAGGCTGGTACCTACCTGACAGGCTATGAATTTCAAAGGACCACCCTCTTGTACCCGATCTACCTGCAGAGGACTCCTCTCCTGATAGACCATTAACATCAGGAGCATGCTGGAGATAAACATGTAGCATAACTCTGTAGCACCTGGCTGTCCCTCCTGTTGGCTCCATCAATGGTCTATGTGGGGTGTGACTACCTCCCCACCTTCTACCCTCTCAATTTTCACTGGTTTTCTGTAGCTAATGGTGCTTGGCCACTATGGGTCTGATGGTGCTCACCTGGCTTATGGTGCTCATGGCTCTCATGTAGCTCTCATTCCTGGAGCGGAACTTTGGTGATGTGAGCAAGCCTGCAGGGTCAAGACTGTCCAGGCTTCGGTTGATGGAGACTTCGCTTACTGCCCTCAGGTAACTGTGACTCCGGATCTGGAGTTTGGGTGAGTGTTCATTGGAGATCCTGGAAGAGAACAATGGAAGAGGCAAATTTAGTCATACCCTTGTATAACTGAGATTGAACTTAGTGAACAAAACTTAAATCCTAGTCATTAAAATGCATACAGCATCTGATATATAAAGAACTCTTGCATGCTTTGGGCCCTTTGGAAAATGCATATTAAGATTATAAAGTAGGAAATGCTTATTGAAAAAGTCAGTCTAGGACTAGGGAGGTAGCTTAGTAAGTACCTGCCATACAAGCATGTGGACCTGAGTTTGGATCCCTGGAACCCATGTGAAAAGCTGGAAATGTTTCTTAGTGCCAGAAGGTACTATGTAGGCTACTAAGAGCTAAAAGTTATCAGTAGACTTACCCAGCAATGGTCCCTGCATGACAATACTGACCTACCTGACAAGACGTAACCACTGGTACAATAGTGGAATGACTGTTAAAGGGGTAACCAACCACTTTCTGATTGGATTTGAGGCCCGCTCCATGGTAGGGAATTCACATCTGGTACTGTAAACCTGGTCAAAAGCCTATGGCTGAGGAGGTTATAGGCCCTGGGAGTAAGAGAGCCTACTATGATTGTGCTAAATATTTTGCTAAATGTTGCCAAACTTCCTTCTAAATATTTATGTATATATCCATAGATTAATGCTATTCTTAATCTTGGTCAGAGAAGTTTATTTGGGTTTTGGTCAGTGCAGAGACTCTTAACTGGTCAAAGTGCTGAGAAGAAGTGACTGCGAGATTCTTCCCTCTGGACATTACATAGCTTTGCACTTATGAACTCACAGCAGCTATGGTTACCTACCTGCATAAGACCTGCACAAAATCAAGTCAGTAAACATTCGAGCATGGTTGGGGAGGGACTCGAGAGACACTGGCTGAGGAGCTATTGGCAGTTGATGGCTGCTGGGGAATGGGGAGTCATTCTCCTTCATGGGTGTTGCCTGTGCCCTGGGAAGGCCTCATACCCATGCATGTTAGCGCAGCACTAATGGGAATCAGTGGGTTATAAAAATAAAATAAAATAAGAAAAGGACATGAAGGTGAGTGAGGGAAGTCTCTCATGCACTCCCACCCCACCTCCACAAGGCTAGTGTTACAGGCGCATGCTGCTCTAGCCAGCATTTTTGTGGCTTTTACTTTTTTTTTTTTTGTGGCAATTTCATATGTGCACACAATGAATCTTGATCATATCCAGCCCAAATTTCCCCTCCTACTCCCTCAGACTTCCCCCAACTTCCCTCAGGCTAGCATGTACCTGTTAACACTAGCCTTGTGGAGGTGGGGTGGGAGTGTATGAGGGTAGTGACAGGTGGACCCCTGAAGCTCACTGGCCACTCAGCCTATAGAATTAACAAATGTCAGATTCTATGAGAGACCCTGTCTCAAAAGATAAAGGTGGAGAACGATTGAGGAAGACATCCGATGTTGACTTCTGGACGCTACACACCACATACATACATAGTATCACAATCGTATGCACACACACACACACACACACACAGACACACACACAGACACACACAGTCAATCAATCAATCAACCAATCAATCAATCAATCAATCATCTATCAAAAATAAAAAGGGAAAAAAGAAAAGTCAAGCCATGCAGCAGTACACAGTGCAGAAAGTGATTATCTTTCCCTATACTTACCTCTTCCAACCTCAGTGGGCAAGGCATACATGTAAGTGCACTTACATACATGCAGGCAAAACACTCATACACATAAAATAGAAATAAAATATTAAAAACACTGAATTGTATACTTGAAAAGGTTGACATGTATGACATATATCACAACTCAATAAACTACTATAAAAATTATAAGCCACAAAATAAAAGATTTCTTTATGAAGGGAATTGAGAGAGTGGACTAAAGAGGATAAACTGAACAAATGATAAACACAGTGTTCGGGGTACTTTAGAGGAACAGGTGACTCTGAGAATTCACATGGAAAGTAAATGTGGAGGATGCATAAGAAGGTAGTGTCTCAGCAGTCAGGAAATGAACACTAAATATGCAAGGAGAGGGATGGCCTTACTCTGAGCTCAGCTCTGTGTAATAGTGAGGATGACGGAAACAGTTGGTGAAGGAAGAGATACAACAGAAGAATAACACAGTGACTCCAGACACAGATTTGAATTCGTATTCAAAGTTAGCACATTGCAAAGATGGCAGTTCAAATAAGTGGAGATAAACTATTTATTAATGAAACTAGGAGAGTCATACATCCATTTTTGGGAAATACATGACTGCTATCCATGTAGATTAAAAATAAGAATATTAAAATATATTCAAAAAATTTTTATTTTATTTTTTTGTTTTATTTATTATTTTTATTTTATGTATATACGTGTATTGCCTGATCCCCTGGGACTGGAGTTACGGACAGTTGTTAGCTGCCATGTGGGTGCTGGGATTCAAACCCGGGTCTTCTGCAAGAACAACCAGTGTTCTTAACTGTGGGGCCATCTCTCCAGCCCCTATTATTTTTATTCTATGTGTATGAGTGTACTGCCTACATGTAGGTAGAGGTACCTGTGTCGTGCAATGCCTGCAGAGGTCAGAAAGAGGGTGTCAGATCCCCTGGAACTTGGGTTATAGATGGTTGTTAGTTGCCAGGTGGGTGCTGGGACTCAAACCCAGGTCCTAGTGCTTTTAATTGCTGAACCAACTCTCCAGCCCTATGAATATTAAAAATATTTTAAGTGGACTTAAAAAGGAATGGAAAACAGATTTTGTTCACTCTGGGCAAAAGCTGTCTAGGCTTGTCACAGGAAAAGAAATAAACAGATTCACAGGAAAATGAGTTTAATGCCACCAAGCACACGACAAGATGCTCAATATTGCTGGAAACCAGACAAATGTTGATTTTAAAAGTGGCATGTTTATACATCACACCCATGAGATGTTGAGGACATTCCAAATGTCCTTTTAGTCGCACCTGTGGTAGTTTGAATAAAAATATCCCCCATAGGCTCCAAGTATTTGGACACTTGGTCAGTTGGTGTCACTGTTTGGAGAGGGTCATCGAAACTTTAGGATCAATTTAGATCAGTTGGAAGGTGTGGCCTTGCTGGAAGAAGTGTGTCGCTGGGGTGGACTTCGAGAATGTAGAGTGTCATCCCATTCCCAGTTTCTTTCCCTGTGTTTCCTGTGCGTGCTTGAAGATGTGAGTGCTCCAGCTGTCTCCCCTGCCGTGATGAAGTCTTACCCTCCAGAACTGTAAGTCTATTTGGTTTATTTACTCTTCCTTCTATGTTGCCTTTGTCATGGTGTTTATTACAGCAATGGAAAAGTAACTACAGCACCTATTCTTAAAGTTTTTATGATACTGCTTAGCTACACCCAACGGCTGAAAAGAAATTCTTGATAATACTACAATCCATGGATTTGATTGGCGGCACTTTTGATCACTTACGCCACAAAGGAATTAAATTAAAACATGTAGAATTTAATATCTAAAGTAAACCTTATATACATTTTATTATTATAAGCAAGAAACCAATTGCTCTATAAATGTGTCCTGTGAGTTTTCTGGGCAGTTCTCAAGCATGAAAACACCTTTGCTAGGGATTGGAGAGATGGCTCATCAGTTGAGGGTACTAACCGTTCTTGCAGAGGACCCGGGTTCGATTCCTAGAACCCACATCGTGGCTGACAACCATCTGTAACTCCAGTTCCAGGGGATCTAATGCCTTCTTCTGACCTCTGTGGGCATTGCACAACACAGGTGCACTTACACACATGCTGGTAGTACACTTGTGCACATAAAATAAAAATAAATAAAATATTAAAAAGTGTCCTGTGAGTTTTCTCAGCAGTTCTTAAGCATGGAAACACCTCTGCTAGGGCAAGCAGACATTTTCCATATGTTACATGCTATCTGGTTGCTCATAGTTGGCCACTTTCCAAATGCTATGCCAAAAATCCTACCTAACCAACCAACTGCAAGTTCATTTTCTCTTAAGCATTTATAAACCTAAATGTTTAAGTCACTTCCTCTTAGAACTTGAGCTTGATGACAAATGTGTTTCTTTGGCTATTTTGCAACATGACCCGGAGCCATGATACTACCAACATAAATGATGATGCAGCTGTGAATGGTCATCAGGGAGTAACGGGGGCAGCCACTTCATAAAAGATATATATTAAGAAGAAGAAACCAAAGTCTGGTTTTTAAAAAGTGAGTATATGCTGGCTGAGATGGGGAAATGAGGCGTCATTGTGACAATCAGTCATCCTGGCCACTTGTTATGAAAAAGGCATAATTCCAAGATTTCAAAGCGGGGGTGGTGGGATGTCATTCAGAAGTAACTGAATAGCTCTAGTTTGGTGAGTCATTTCCGATAAAAACAAAGATACCTTAGTAACACAAGATACACACAAGGAAATGAACTCCTTTATCTTATCTAGGAAGCAGAGCCTGCAGCTATCAACACAGGAGGGACAGCCTGTACCTATGCTTCCTGGTGCAGAAGTGCTCAGTAAAGACACACTAGCACATAATGTTGATTACTCCCCTTCAGGAAGACTGATCTTCTGAAGAAGGGAGGTGTGTAGACTCGGAAATGTGAACTATGCTAAAATGCCTATAAATGTTGGCCTCTTGAAATGAGAGCCTCTTTTTCCACTGTCCTCCCTAAATAACTTATGAGAGTTCTCTTTTTGTAGTGTATGAACAGTGAGGTGGGCCAGTGACCCCCTTTCAGTAGCATGTCCCTTAAGTGTACCCAAAGACCGGAAGCCCTGGGATGGTCATGAGGATGTCACTGCAAAGAAAAGAAAATGCAATAATACTCAGACCAGAAAGTTTCAAATCAATGTCTCAAGAGAGAAAATGACCAACTTTGCAATATAGGACTGAAAATGTGATTTCAGATGATTGGTGACTTTTTTTTCCTCCAGAGAAGCGATTCCAGGTGACCAAGTCTAATGAGGGAATCATTGGAGGTGATGGGTCGCCTTACTGGTCCACCTGAACCTTATTTATTCCTTTTCACTTTGT